CCTCAATCCCATGCCTCCGTATTTTCTGCAATAGCCTACCATGGGGAACCTTATCAACCGCTTTACTGAAATCCATATACACCACATCAACCGCTTTACCCTCATCCACCTGTTTTGGTGAAGGCCTTCAGGTATAAGTGACAATCAGGCACATGACTAGGCAGTGATGGGACTTCTCCAGAAGCAACTAATCTTAATGGCAGAAATCCTGACCCCCACCTGAAGCCGCTGCTCATTCAGAGTTTGATGGCTGTGTATTGCTTGGCAACACCACCTGGGAGGCAATGGCTGCTGCTGATGATGCTCCCATCTGAGGCTCTGGATCACTGAGGGATCCAGGCCCCAAGTAAGTGGTGGCAGTATGACTATTGTAGAGGAGGCAGGAGGAGGTCAGCAGCAGGCCACTTTCCCAATTCTAGGTCGCTAGCACTGTGCCATTGAACAAGAAACCAGCCCCAACCCCTGGAAGCCTGCATGCAAATGTGACAGGTCTTTGGACTTTATGCATGGCAAGCCCAGTGCTCACCACTGGGTGAATATGTGGCGTCAGGATGAGGCCATTAAGTGGGCATTAATAGGCCATTTAAGGTCTCAACTGGTAAAGAAGGCAGAGGGCTGTCCACAAGCATTCCCACCTAGACTAAATCTGGGCAGAAGCATGAAGGCAACAAGATTCTACCTTGAGAAGGGTAATAAATTCTGCGTTGTGAATGGCATTGTCAAATTGACTTTAAAAATGTCTGAGAGCAGCAGTTTTTTCAAAGCAGATTTCTGCAAGCGTTTCTGTTCATGGGCATTTCAAGAATGCATTGTTATTGTATGGATTGTTGGTTTTGTACACAGTAGAGTGGTTTTCAACTCCTGTGCTGCGGCACTCTGGTGTTCCGTGAGGACTGTCCAAGTATGTCATGAAATTTTGTACAAAGGTAATAGAAATCAATGTAAAAGAAACATTGCTTCGATCTAACCAAAATTACAATGCATACAACTTGTGTAAATTAATCACCAAATTAAAAGCAAGGTTTCAGTCCTTCAATTTTAAAACAGAAACATTC